CCCCCTCCCCGTCCCCTTGATCCCTTTTGCAGGGAATGCTTTTTGTTCCGGAATAGCGCCAACCCTCATTTGCACTGAAAGTCGAAGTTGGTCCTAGGTGCCCCTCGATAGCGTTTTGTCGTTCTTAGGCTATTTTCCCGACGGCTTGGAAAGCGAAATATAGGTTCGCACTACCGTATGCCCGGGTCTCGAGTGGAATTTAAGGTTCTGTAGCTCTCTAGTGTCGAACTGCATTGAAACAGTACCTAACCATAAATACATACGAAGTGCGAAGATTAGAGATCATGGGGAAAAATCGATAGTAAATGCTAAGGCACGACGATTCCGACGCGTTTCAGAGCGAGCCTTGATCGCGGTAACATATGGTGTAATAATTTTCTTCTTTGGAACTGGGGCTCAAGTGGCTATAGATCTTATTCACGAGAAAAATCAATCGATTATTGATTAGGTGGTTATAGTTGGCACTACGTTTGGCAGTAATTTATAGGCATTGTACACAAGTCCCGTTATTGATCCATTCACCAACTATGGGACGATCGATTATATAAGCCACCTCGCAATGAAATTTGTTCCGCGATCAAAGTTCGCTCTCTAATTGTCACCGAGGGGGCGGTCGCGGCGGCAAACCGCGGTTGTATCGCGGCAGAGCGACGTCGTTTTCGTCGCTGTGCGCGGCATATCGTAACGTAGCGGCGGTGATATCGGCACGATCGAATCCGATGTCGTGATTCAGATGGACGTCGTGTCTGAACGCCCGCTGTGTCTTGCCGTTGGCGACAGCTCGTCGCTCGCGCAACATTTTCCGCAGCCGACGTCGCTTTCGCCATTGATCGCAGCAGACGCAGATGAAGATGATCAAAATCAGCACGAGAAATGCGCCCAGTGAACCGGCGATGATCTCACGGGAGTAACCTGAAAAGAACGTTTGTTGACGGAAATCTGCTTGTATAAGGCAGCGTTCAGACTTCGCGATCGAAGCGCTGCCGTCGCGATGTCTGAATGCGGCCTAAACGTTCTGAAATTTACTCCTAAACATGGAGAACTCCTCATGGCACCACATTCATCCCAGTAGTCTCGCCCTGGTTTTGAATTCAGCTCAGGTGAGGAAATCTGAGTTGTGGCGCTAAGCTGCAACTAGCACAGCACACGCGGCTTTTCGCGTCAAAATTAAAATGTCGCATGTGGACGGGCTTGTAACGCCCTTTCGCTGCGTTGCTAAAAGCGGCTAAGCGCAGCTCTGTTCTGGTGACGGGGGCGGACATATCCTTACTATGATTGCTTCTTTAGTTCTGGTTTACAAGTCTCACTCTGGCGAAACCTGTTCAAACTCTTGTGAAGCTGGAGCAAGGTCGTCAAGCCATCATGTTGGAACCTGTCAATTAGAGAAGAGGGTGTCTAGATAGGTCGACACGTCGATGGGGAAATCGCAAAAGTGCAAAATGCCCCTCCCCCTCCCTCCCCCCGTCGCCGAACTGCGCCAATTGCTCTATAGCTTTATGTCTCTGCCCATACGATGGGCGTGGAATGTACCTGGTTGAATTATTTGCGCTGCGCACTTCACATGAACAATGATGGCGCATCCAATAAAAGGCCTGATCAGCAGTGATGGCTCTGTGTCTTTGATGTGATTTTTTCCGTTTTCTTTGAAAGTCGGAACTCAGGTTCTTTTCGATCCTAGGCATTAAATATCGATGTAGCGTTCACCGAGTATATTTTCGGAGAGCCAATCGGCTTGATCTTTTCCTAGTTAATTGATAACTTGACAGGAACTAACGAAAGAAGCTTGTTAATATGTTGAATGCCCCTCCTAAGCCGAACAGAGCCCAAAAATTCTTCACTAATCTGCGTTGTTTTGAAAACAGCTCGTTCTGCTTTCTCGTTCCTCTTATAAGATTGATATGGCGATCCGACTGGTTTAATATAATTTGGAATCTCTCACGACTTATCCATCACTTGGTCCATTCTGCTCTACCCTCCCCTCCTGCTTGTCCGCTACAGGTCGGGATATCCTTGTTATGACGGCGTGCAGTATTTCAATAGTAGTTTCTGGCTTAGTGATTCCCTTACGGTACCGCGGTACTACTACACACTGTATTCTATAGCACTGTCACACTAAATAAATTAGCTCCCGGCGAGGATACCGCGCACGCGATGCGTCGCTTTCGATGCACGCGTCGCCGCATCACGGATCTTGCGCTCAACACTGTTGGGACGATCCTTGATTTAGAGAAGGGCGATGTGAAGTTGTATGGAAATTCTTTATCAAAAACAGCAGAAGACAAGTAAATCGTAGTCACTTACAATGCTGTTCGTCACTGTCATCGCCTTCCACGCAATTTTGCACACCGTTACATACAAGTGACGAATGAATGCACAATTGCGGCCGCATCGCACATACGCCTTGATCCTGAACACTCAACTTTCAATCGAGCTTTATTTGCTCGCTTTGCATCTCTACTTGTCGGACAACTATGCTGAAGGCAGCGTTCATGCTTCGCGACGAGGCGTGTAGACGCGCTACCATTGGCGCTCCTATAGTACGCAAAGGTATCGATCGGTGCCGGATGCTAGTGTTTTCGAGAGAGTATAACAGAAAAGGAGAGAACCAGACTGTGTGATTAGGTGTCGCAAAACAGAAATGTCTGAGCAGTCGCAAAACAGTAAAGTTACTACTTTATGACGCTCAATCACCCACTATGAAATTCCCCCATGTCCTATAACCTTCCTAAATAACAGTGGCCTGCGCTGATCATACCCGTCTATGTTGTTTGTGTTTTGTTTTCCCGTCTTTTGTACCGGTAGCGGGTCCTAGCGCGCGGACACGCGTCATCGCGAAGTCTGAACGCAGGGGACAGTCAGCGAAGAGATTAGACCAAGCTCGTTTCCTGTTGGGTTAACGCGGCATAATACCGTCCATTGCCCTTCCCCTGCAGTACCTTAGCACCCCATAACGGCGCTGTTTGTCGACGGGGGGGCATTTTGTACTATCATTGCTTCCTCAGTTACCAGTTTTACATGTCTTACACTGGCGAAACCTGTGAACACTTGTGCAGCTGGAACAAGGTAGTCAAGTCATCTTGTTAAAACCTGTCAACTCGAGAAGAGGCTGTCTAGACAGGCCGACACGTCGTTGGGAGGTAGCAAAAGTGCAAAATGCCCCCCCCCCGTCGACAAACTGCGCCCCCCCCATAACTCCTGCGCAACCGATCACGACCAGAACTGACCTGTTCCACACATATCTGCCCTCCTTGGCAAGTGAACTGCGTGCAGGTGTCGAAGGGATGAGCTCTGCGATGATGGTCAGATGAGACGAAAGCAGATGACGGATCAACTTCGTCAAATAAACCCTCGACGGCAGTCCATATCAGCTGTAATCAATCAATATAGGTTGGAATCATTAGGCGAACGGCTAGTATGTAGGTGAAAGGGTAACCTTGAACCCGACTCGTTGACCAGCAACCGATAGCGATGGTCGATCTTTGGTGTTCAACCTGAAATTCATACGAATCGATTGGTACTCGGATCAAGGATACGTCATCGCGTTGTGATCAGTTCCTGGAAAATACGACCCTCCCCCTAATTCCATCCTCAAATACGACCCCCCTCCCATGCTACCTACCACTTTCCTGATTTTCCCAACTTCCTACCACTTTTTCCATTTTTTCCCCACAAAAATCCCAGTTTGTTCAGCCAAAATTCCCCCTCGAGCGCGGAAGGATACCCAATATGAAATAGGAGAATTTCTCAGGTTTTCCCTGACTTCGTACTAGTTTTTCCGGAATTTCGAAAAATTTCTAGTTTTTCCCCAAAATTTTGCTGCCGAGCGGGGGGGGGGGCAAGGAGGGAAGTTGTCAGGATTTAACTACCATTTTTTCATTTTCAACTATCGGAAATAGTAGTTGTATAGATCTTTGGCAGTCCCTCTCCCAACAACGACCAAATACGACCCCCTCCCCCTTATAGCGTTCCGTGAAACAAGAAAAATCAACTATCGTGCCCTGATTCGGATGCTGTGTTCGCCCGTAAAAGTGGCAGAAAATGCCAATTCTTGCCTACTGCTGTCTAATTTTGTGACACAAATCAGCTGTTCCCTACTTTTTCTTGAATATTCCATTTCGTTCAACTGACACAATTTCCTGGAATGGATAAGCTTCAGCTGAGTGCTCGTTCATCATTCCCTTCTGACATTTAGTAAGCTGCCAGAGCCGCAGTGGATTTGGTCGTGGCTAGTCTCTTCTTTGAACCAATTCATCATTATTGTCTCACTCCAAGACCACCTAAGGGCACATTCCACGATAAATCACCTGTCAATAAGCTTTTTTGTGCAACAGCTTCATGAATCCACTTCAGAGAAATCTGGGCAGACTGGCGCGCTCAACGACAGTTCACGCTGATCGTGTAGGCGGAGACAGGCAAGCGTTGTGCCTTTCTCAATGACGCATTATTTTTTCTTCTAATACTGTCAAAAGGAGAGGCGCACTAGTGCAGAACACAACAACTTGACTGTCTCCGCCCATACGATCGGCATAGACATGACGTACAGCTAGCGGTTGACAGATATCAGCATAAGGCGCAAATAACTTTGTGAGATGAGGGACATCCGGAGGACTCCTTATGCGGAACTGGGATTACGGTCATTCGACTCGAATTGCCGTATTCCAGATTAGTTCACCCATACTCCAGTTTTATCCCAAAGAACTGCTCCCAGGTAGGAGTATATAACGTACACGAAATGGGAAATACAGAAAACAAAGAAAAGTCAACAACTCCAAAACATTTTCTTATCGGCAAATATAACCCTCCCTCC